GAAAAAGCATCAGTTATATTTTTGTGAACTCTCGTTTGATAATTCTAAACATTTCAACCAGCTAATAAGATTAGTGTATTTTATATTCAAATAGGGCTGATGTCTGAAATATCAATGTGAACTCATACAAAAAATTGAACATCTAAACCAGCACATAAATAAATTTAGAATATAAATTCAAGGTATTTTATTTTTTTTTAGATTTTACTTTTATATAGAACAACTTTATCAGACACTGTTCTTTTAATTCTTGTTCTAAATTTTTGGTTATAAAATTTAGTTTAGTATACGAGTAAACAAAACCCATAGTGCTCACCGACGAAATGCTAGCGACATGTAGTTTGTAGAGGGGCAAATTTGTTTTTCTTCGGACAAGAACACTAAACACAAAATAAAATTATAGTTGCCGAACTATATAAAAACTGTGTACTTTAATTTAAGAACAATTAAAGCTTACAATTAATTGTACATATTTACATTAGATATGGACCCGTATGTTCTGTATTATAATAATATTGATACAAACACGCATAATAATATAGAAGTAGAATTCCATTATATATCAGAAAAAATTTTTCTACACCTTCTAGCAATGAAAAGATCTTTTTTTAAGAGCGATATCCATGCAACACCTAACAACAAATTCAGATTTAGAACACACTGACAACTTTCAGTGCATCTGAACCCACTTTGGCAACGTTGCTCTATTCCCAGGCTTACGCTCCCTTCAATTTATTACTTATAAACTATAGATGATTTAAAATATTAAAAATGCCGATAAATCGCAGGTCCGGTCTAACAAAGAGTATTTCTGTTTTGTTTTCTCGTTTAAAATATCTTTTAAAGGTATAACCTGGTGTAACATTTTCGAAAAATTTTTTTTATAACTAATTTATTTATTTACGAAATATATTTTTAAATATACATATGTACCTATTTCTACATTTTCTGATATACAGGGTGTTTGTTGGTAAGTGTGAATGATTTTAGGGAATGTTTGCCGAAGTTATTTTATAAAAAAAACATAGATCGAAAAAGTCAGTGGCGCAGTACTTTTTTATTAAAAAAGTGGCATTCTCGCACAAACGCCACTGGTACAAGTAGAAATATTTGGAACACCCCAAAAAATACACATTTGCCCCTTTTTGCAAATTTAGAGTAAATATCTTTAAAACTATTAAAAATAATTAATAAAATTTAATAAATTAAAATTTAAACATTCTGTATCTCGGAAACGAAGCATATTTCGACCTACTTTTATAGGAACTTTTTTTAACAAAATAACTTTGATAACAATTTGCAAAAATCGTTCGCACTTATTTACAAATACCCTGTATAAAAATACTTTTTTTAAATAATAACCCATTTGATACTAGTTTGTGCAACAACAGTGGACAATCCACTGGAGTTGTACAGTATGTTTTTTCTACGACCCACTAACGAAAATCTACAAATTTAAAGTATTATTTTAGGAAAAGACAAAATAATTAATTTTAAAATAATTTATGACTTTACTAATTTGTGAAATAAAATAAACATGAAAAAATATTTCATTTAATTAGTCCCCAGCCCAGATTTGAACTCGGACCTCTCGCGTGAAAGACAGATGCCGTATCATCATTTTCACCTCCACATTTAAAATTTTAGTTCTAAAAGTAGTAATTAAATTAGTTTCATATAGGTAGTTTAATTCAAATTTAGGATTTTTTAAATTGTGGTCTAAATTAAAATTATTTATGAATCCTACGCAAAAATAACTCATTTTAATGTATATTTAATCTCAATTCCTAAAAAATATACTGACAATTAGTTTGACAGAATTGTCACTTATTTAAAATTTTAAAAATAATAGTTGTTGGGTGTCCAATATATAAACTGTGATTGGTGGATTTCATTTGTTTGCAGTGTTCTCACTACCCAGAATGGATATGAAATATATTCGTTGAGTTGAACGCAATAGTATATTTTTTCGTTTTGTAGTCTGTGCGTGAATAGTAGTTTGTGCAACAAAATTGGATATGATGGCCATATCGCACGAAGACGAAGTTTCAGAACGACGCCGTAGACGGAGTGCTTAATCGTCTGAGTGCGATACAGACAATCCACTCGAGTTGTACAGTATATTTTTTCTACGACACCCTAACGAAATTCTACAAATTTAAAAAAGTAATTTATTAAGACAAAATAAATAATTTTAAAATAATGTATGACTTTTAATAATTTATAAAATAAAATAAACATACAAAAAGATTTAATTTAATTAGTCCCCAGCCATGATTGGAACTCGGGTCTCTCGCTTGGAGACAAACTCCGTGCCGTCGCCACACTTGCCATTATAGTTCTAATACTTGTAATTAAATTAGTTTTATATGGTTTGATTAAAATTTAGGATTTGTTTATAAATTTGGACGAAATAAAAATAGAAATTCTATTACTTATCGATTATACATAAGAAATATTCATTTTTACGTATATTTAATCTCAATAATTCAAAAATATACTGACAGTTAGTTTGACTACATAAAATTTAAAAAATAATAGTAGCCGGGTGACCAATATATAATCTGATTGGTGGATTTAACTGTTTTGCAGTGTTCTTACTAGGTAGAATGAATATGAAATATATTCGTTCAGTTGAACGCAATGGAATACTTTTTTGTTTTGTAGTATGTGCGTAGATTAGCTAATATTCATGTGGGTATAGAAAAAAGCATATCCATGTGGATGTAGAAAATAGTAGTTTGTGTAACATGAGTTATTATAAATTAAATTGATTTCATATAGTTTAATTAAAATTTATAATTATTTATTTCTAAATATAGATCAAATAAAACTAGAAATGCTATTATTTATCGATTCTACACAAGTATAACTCATTTTACGCAATAGCATATTTTTTCGTTTTGTAGTCTGTACGTAGATACGCTATCCATTTGGGTGTAGAAAAAATTGTTTTCTAGTACTAAAAATATTTAAAAATAACATTGAGTAAAATGATTTATTATTAGTAAAAGAAGGAATAAAAATAATCATTTTTATTGACTATTGGTCGGATTTCTACTCGGATTTCTACTCAAATTTCTAATATCTAAACCTATAGTGAAACGTGGATCTAAGATTTCGGGTAGTATACAATCTAAATAAAATTGCTTTAGTTTGTTTTCCATATACACCAAAATCTATCATCTTTTTTATTTTTTCTACTAACATACTTAAAGGTATTAAAATAAATAAAAAAAAAAAATATTTCGTTTAGTTACGTTAAGTTGCCCCTGAACAATTATTGCATTTTCGCATTATCATTAATAATTGCAAATTTTATTATGTTGTCAACCATTGCTTTTTTCGGAGTCAGTTTTGAAGCAGTGGCAGGATATTTAATTTCGATAATACTGTCTGTTCCTAATAAACCGTCGGAACCTAAAAACCATATTCAGAATCCACAAATAAACCACATTTATTGGATATCCGCTTTAAATTTGTAAATATTGCTTTAAAGCTAAAGGTTTTTTTTTTAATTCAATACTTAGTATATTAATTTCCCATATATTTTAACTTTAATGCTTAGAAGGGGTGCTAATGTTTGTCTTTTTCTAAGTAATCTAGCACGATATTTTATAGATTTCCGTCGAAACGGAAATATAATTTTCGGCATTTCCGAAAGTTTTCCCATTTTTATCACAAATTATTATAACTCAGCTTACACATAAAAGTTCATATAAACACATTGACTAAATACGAAACAAAAACACCTACACTTGAACTAAAAAGAATAAAGTTTTTTATTATTTTATTTTTATCCCAATTTTCCGGTACTGCATGCACCGCCAACGTCCGCCGCCTTGTTGCCAAATCAATTAATATGGATTGGAATCTTGACAGATTTTCTCAGATTTCCTAATTCAAGGTTTTCAAAAAATATACGCTTTGGACAAAAAAGTGTATTGGAAAGAATTAGCTGATTTTTATATAACAATTCCCGGTAAAGACTCCTTTTTGCAATAATTTTCATAATTTGTATAGAAATAATTAAAAAATTAGTTTTTCTGAATTCGGGCTCTACAGCGGAGTTCTCTATCATTTGCTTAGTAGGTATACCAAATTTTATAAAAAAATATTTAAAACTGAGAAAGAGAACCTTGAAGTCGTTTTAAGCCTGTTTCTAACCATGGATATCGCTCTTAAGTAGCGAAATTTATGTCTACCAATATGTAATCATACTCTATATTTATTTATGGATTTTTGTAAAACCGATTTAATTAAATTGATTTTTTCTTAAAATTTCAGTTCATTCATCATTTTTTTTATCAGTTTATCAGTTGGCCACATTGGCATCGTGTTCGCTGTTTATAGTTTAATTTGTATCAATTATCAATTCGAATTATTTCTTATTTGTAAGCATTAAATTTGTTTATTTCTTATATAACGTGTAATAGTGTTAAGGAAGTTGCAAAAAGGCCTCCAGCAAATTGTAATCAACTTATATATTGTATTAATGGTTGCATATCAAAATCAAAACGGAAGTTTCCATTATTTTCCAAGTAAAATTCCTAAAATTTTGTTATTGTGATAAATGAATATCTACAAATTCACATTATTGAGATTTTGCAACATTTTACGTCTAGATTCAAACTTCATTCTGCAATGTGACAATTTTAATTCATTTTACATGTTTACAATGTTCACTTCAGAATCTAAGAATAAGAATACTTAGATTTTTCATTAAGTTTATCAATAGTAAACATTAGGTACCTGAAGTTTTCTTTAAACCCCATAAGATGTCCTGCGTTTAGTAAACATATTTTTCTAGATGTTTGTGTAGCAAATTTAGTCTTAAACACATCAAAATTCCTCCACAGAATTAACAATGAAAATAAACAAATAACCTACTTACAGGTGACAGATGGCAGGCGCGTGAAAATGAATTTGTATGGAGAATAATTTTAATTTGGACGAATCCTGGTATTATAAAGGATGTGGACGAAATAAAATTTTAGAAATAACTTCAACTTTTTATTATAACTTTATTAATTACAACTAGACAAAAAAATTCGGTATAATCAGTATATCAGCAAAAAAAACTTATCTAGTATTAATTTAGGCAAAAGCGCTAAGCTGTCGATAGACCAACAAAGTGGCCGATGTAGATATATAAAAAAATCTCAGGTTTTCCTGGTCGTTCGTCCTTTGCAACTAAATTGAATATCCACTTTCAATTACCTAACCCAAGAAACTGTTTTTTTAAGTTTTTTTTTTTCGATGTTTATTTAGAAAAAAGACGGTTTGTATAAATAGGTAACTGAAAAAATACTCAGTTCAGTTTCTCACTGGCAATTGGAACCATTCCTTCATTTACTTCCTCTCCTTCTCAAAAATGGAATAAAAAATTCAATATCTCAAAAATTAAGTCAAAAATATGCGCTTCAAAGCATAAATATAAATAAAACTGCAAAGTAAACTCATCTGTTCGTACAGTCTTAACCAATTTCTTCTATGAACGGAAACCTTATAAAATGGAATGTTCGGGATTTTTTAAACAATAACCCAAATTATAAGATTTCCGTAGTTGACAAATTGTTTTTGCTTTCAATATCTCAAAGTTTTTATTGATTAAGAAAGTAATGTTTCACTTCAAGCCATAGTAAGGGCTCCTGCACCCATTCCAAAGCCTACACCTCTAGGACCAAAGTTTCTACCATAACATCCTCTGCAGTAGATATCTCCGTTGGGTCCATCGTTAAGGATCGTAGAGTCCAAAGAGCGGTTGCAATCAGCGCAGCTGAAGCACCTCTTGTGCCAAATTCCATTTTTGCTAATCATTTGTTCAGCTGCGTATACAGAGTATCCACAACGCTTGCAACCTGTAAAAACAGAAATAAATAATATATAAATAATGTAACAGTTTAAAGTTTTTAGTTTTTATTTAGGCATGTCTCTCAATATTTTTACACAAAACTTGTAAATCTGAAAAATATATTTTTATACATCCATATAAAATCTATTTTTATACAAACTAGTAGAAACTAGGCAATATCAGTAAAGTGACATTTGACATTTTTCACGTCAATTAATATTTATAAATTATTTAAAACAAATATGTTTTCTACAAAGTTACTTTTTTACTCGATTTGCATATATACAATATTATTGAATAATAGAAAGTGAGACAAAGTACTTTTTTAATGCAAGTTCTGATTGTCTCCATCAGTTGCTTTCTGTAGACAGCCCACCTCAGCCACACCAACAAAGTATATACTATACAAAGATTCATCACAGTTCTAAAAAATATTTTACTGATAATTTTGGCATCAAACGACGTTGAATGTGATACATTTATAAAAATTTCTTAATCGATCTATCCAAATTCCAGACCAGATCCCAAGATTACGATGTTGGCCAACAGCAGGTAAAAAAGTGTAAAGTGTTTATAGTAAAACTTCATTCATACACACTATTCTTATTTTAGTCGCTTGTTCGCAATTTAATTTAACTTTAATCGCAATTAGCTAAAAAAAAATACGTTACGCATTAAAGGGGATACCCTTCTAAGCACGTCTTAAAAACTGCCAAATCCATTCTCTTTATTTTAATTCTGTTGCGCAATGCGTTCTCGCTTAGATGTGTGTTCTCTTCTGCTTTCATAGATCCGTATTACTGTTGTTCAAAATACAAGGTAATTTTAATAGGAAATCTAAATAATTTAGATGCGACATTATTCGACAAATGCCAAACATATCCTTTCAAATCAAATCTCACGCTAGTAGTTATGTTTGCAAAATGAAGTGATTGACCGAAGGTTGAATAATAGTGTTTTTTAGCGATAATGAAATATGCTAACTCCCAGGCATTCTGTCATGTCGAACGTTGAAAGTGAGTATGTAATGAGAGATGTAAGCCGACACCGACAAATTTTGAATACTAGAAGTTTAAAACTAGAGCGAGTGTGCATCTGTATCTGTAGCTTGTGGAAGGTTATCCCACGGCACTTAGGCCTTATTAGGCCCATTGTGCATCCTCCTAAGATGATAGGAACCTCCTAGCTCGCGAGCCAGCCTACAGATTTAATGTAGTTGATAACTTCGCCAAGAGGTGCTTCTCTTATATCGGCCGGTGTTAGCCGATACTCGCCGAACACAAATCTTCTAATAAATGAGAGCGTCAAGCAATCGTAAAGGATATGCTCGATGGTCTTATCTTCTTGTTCGCACTCTCTGCAGAATGCGGATTCTGACAGCCCCATGATATGGAGATGCTTCCGTACTTGGCAATCACCAGTCAGAATGCCTGTGAGTAGGCGCAGATTCTGTCTAGTTATAGTCAAGTATTTGTTTGCTGCAGTGTTGTTAGGATAACTTAATAGTTCCCTGGTAACTCTGCAGTTTCTTGTTTCATCCCATATTTCTTTCAATTTCACAAGGGAATGTTCTTTAATTAGGTCTGTCACTACTGATTTTGTCAGGCCAATAGAAGGGCCAGGTCCAAAAAGTATTTGGCTGGCTGCTTTCTTGGCTAGTGAATCAGCAAGACGGCCACCTTTCGATGTGACGTGACCTTGAATCCATCTTAAGGTGACCACATTGTTGATAAATACTTCGGCCAAAGCTTCGTGACATTCTAGTACTAACCCTGAATAAATTCGTAAATTCTCTTCAGGGTGAGTAGTGCTTGTCTGCTATCTATATAGATGAGCATGTTCCTTCCAGCGATATTCTTTCTGGTTATTTTTTTGCTGCTATGAGAATCCCCGTTAGCTCTGTTTGAACTACACTGGCACTATTACAGCCGATTTTTAGTTTAGGTTTAAGAATCTGGAGTATATTCCACATCCTGAGCCTTGTTTTGTTTTAGAACCGTCAGTGTAGATATGAATCGTACCTGCCACTTCTGGCTCTTCTATTTGTTCTATTATAACTTTATATGGCTTATGGAAGATATATCTCAGTAAGATGGAGTCCATGTTCACTTGAAGCAGTGGGAGCGTATCAAGCGCCTCCTGCCAAAAGTGACGTCTCGCATCATCAGATCCTACATCAGGTTCTACTCCAACCGTGCGGAGGCGTGTCATTATCGTCAGAGCAACCGCCTTAATGTAAATATCAAGAGGAGTGAGACAAAGAATGACTTCCATCGCTCTGGTCGGTGTTGTTTTCATGGCTTCTGTTATGTTGACACATGCTGTTCTTTGAATTTGTTCTAGTTCACGGATAGCTGTTAATTTTTGGGTTTTCGGTACACAGACAACTGCACCGTATGTTAGTATAGGTCTTATGATAGCCGTGTAAGTCCATGCGACGACTCTGGGGGAGAAACCCCAGGTGCGCCCCACGGTTCGGCGGCATTGTCCATAAGCAATGTATGCTTTTTTAACTCTGTTTTCCAGAGTGAGTGTGTAGCAAACATGTTGTCGTATCGAAGCTCTAAAGCAGAGTGAAGTGATGAAAGGCGAAACGATGTATATATTGGAAAGTGGAGTGGGCAACTGTCGATTCTTGTCTGCGGAGGGCATGTCTAACTGATAAGCATTACATCAGCACGTGAAATTCGTTAGAAAAGAATTTGGAAAGAGAGAAATGCTGCAATGCAAAAGACAGTATGTCCAGAATGCGCTTTGGGATTCATGGCGTACGTGAAATTCATCACCCTCTGCAGAAAATATATTTAACTTGTACTGTATCTTGAATACGTGGGTTGATCGCAGTTGGCTTAAACAAAGAGGCAGGTTAGAAAATGCTGTATTTAAATATAAGAATATGTTATGGAATTTATACAACCATGTAGAAAAAACAAGTTGAATTTGACAGAACATTGAAACTAGAGACATTAATTCACGGGAGGACGTGTCTAAATTTAAAACACTGCATTTCACATTCATATTCATTCCTTAATTTAATCTTGCCTCCAACGAGTGGGTGCAGATATTTCTATAAGTGGTTAAATACAATATTTTCTCAGATTAACCAACAATATCAAGCAGATACCATTCTTTATGCAGTATTATTTATACTTTACCTTATTGATATTATTATTATAAGCCCTACCTTTTAATTCAATTAAATATAAATAATCTTTATCTGTTATCTTACCTTCTCCGGGTGCGGCTTTATGGCCACTGTTTGGTCTGGGATCATGGACAGCGGGTGCAGTACCATCGGCGCAAACCAAAGTTGGAGCATGACCAAAACCGAATCCTTTAGGTCCAAAAAGTTTGCCGTAGCAAGCACGGCAATGAACCTCTTTATCTGGACCGTCACAAGCGAGAACAGAGTCGAGAGGTCTATGGCATTCAGCGCAATTGAAACATTTTTTGTGCCACATCTAAAAAGCGAATATTATATACATATATTATATTATTATATTTTCTAAACAGCTTGTGAATAACTTGGGTATGACAAATGTAGAGGAATTACTTACAGTTCCCTTTGCCAGTTGTTGTTCGGCAGCGAAGACCATTCCTCCACATCTTGGGCAACCTTGACCAGGAGGGGCCTTAATCGAAGTCGTATCTGGGTTGTAGAAAGGTCGGCTAGCAGAAATTTCATCATCGCTATAATAAAAACAAACAATGAGATTTCACTAATTTAGATAAATAATGATCATTTATTATTTGTAATATTTGTTTATCAAATTAAATAATTAAGTAATTACGTTAGGCCATCAGTTTGTAAAAAGCCAGATCCACAAGCGAAACCGTAACCATGAGGTCCCCATTTCTTTCCGTAGCAGGTCTTGCAGTAAACATCCCTATCAGGTCCGTCACAAGCGTTGATGGAGTCCAATGTTTTGGTACAATCTTTACACTTGAAACACTTGCGATGCCATGGTCGACCTTTAGCAAGAACTTCTTCAGCGGCAAAGACTACACCACCACAACGAGGACAACCCTGACCTGGTTTGGCTTTGATGCAGGCTGTGTCGACGAGAGTGGTGTGAGGAGATTGCCCACTGTTAAAAAATAAATACAAAGATTTGAATATGTAATCAAAATATTAAATCGATCATTTTTAGTACATCGAATGATATGAAATGATTTCTTTTTATTGAAGCTTTATAAATTTGCGAGTAGACAAAATACCACTATAACAATCTGGTAAATGTGTTGTTTCTTTTCATAAATAAATTGAATATTAATTATATAAGTAGCTATTTTGTGAAACTCGGGAGGAAGAATTTTGATACATAGGAGTATTGATGATCACATACAACAATTATTAAAACCAAAGCATACTTCAAGAAATGAGAATGTACTACAATGATGCTTCTTTCAGCTTTACCAATGAAAGTGCATCCTTAGCGATAGAATGGAAAACAATAGATAGTTGCAGTGTACCAGACATCAAATAATAATAATATAACATGAAATTGAAACGTAAATATTCAGAAAACATAAAAAAATGTTAAAGTTTCAAACAAACGTTTTTAAAATAATTTATATGGGGCGATCAAAATTGAAACGTGAATATCAGGAAAACATAAAAAAAAGTTAAAGTTTCAAACCAATGTTTTTAAAATGATTTATATCGGGCGATCAAAATAGACGATATCTGGAGAAAAAAGGCAAATGAAGTGCTAAAGCAGATGAACAAAAAACTATTATTGAGTTATTATCAAGTCAAAGGAATAAAGTTGTTTATTAGATGACCTTGAAATCTAAAGATAAAAGATTGAAAAAATAAAAGATCTGGGAACCAAGAAACAAAACACAAAAGGAAGATGATTGCCCTAAGCCTTAAAAGTCTGTCTGTCAATTTATAATATATTTTGAGTTACAGAAATAATTATTTTGTACTACTATTCTTCTAGCAAAGCTCTTCTTAATTTAGTAGGCTTAAAGTTACCCAAAAGAACTATATGGGGTAGAAAATAAAATAGAAACAGAGAAATAAATTAGCAAAATAGTGGACGGATGGTGATGACAATAGGATACTCTTTGAGAAAAAATTTAATGGATAAATAAACTGATTTCTGATAACAGGATGTGTGCGAATTCAGGAAACAAAATTACTAGTTAATACTTGCCTAATACAGTTCTAGACAGGTACATAATAATATTTTATTTGTCTAAGGTTATCAAATAAAAAAATATAGCAGAATTAAATATTGGAGATGTAATAACCTCAGACAAGTTAGCGCCGTAGACCTGCTTATAGTAAGGTACTATCTAATGGGAGACGGTACATCATATCTGTCAGATATCTGCTTTAGCCACCTTTCAAAATGAAGGATGAAAATATGCTTCTTAAAATACCATTAAAATGATAAATATATTTTTTCATATCATTCAAGTTCTTTGTAAATGCTGCATTTATAAGTAAATAGTTAGTTTGCTTATATTTTTTTAATCTGAAGGATTGTTAAATTATGAAAGCATTCGATAGATATTAAAACAGATGTTTAACTTCTTCTATATTTACTCAATATTGTACTAGAAAATAAGAAAAAAAATGTTATAGTGTACACATGAAAATTTTAAATGGAAATTAATTCGGTTGTTTTTAAGGATAGAAACTTTATTTTATGAGTGGTTCTTGAGTGTCTAGAATATGATAAATATGTTCCATATCATCACCTCGAGAAATTTGCCGCCTCAAGCCATCCCTACCTATTTTTTTTAAATTGTCTCCCGATCTGACTATTGAAACACTTATACTAATATGTACCGTATTCAAATTACATGTTAAGTTTATTCTTGAATTAAGAGTGATCCTCTAAAAGTAAAATCTATTTTAAATTTGATCTCTTAATTACTCTCTATAATTTACCAAGCAATATTTTTGTTCTCCATAGTAGATGCCTAGATGCCTATTGGAAGATATAAATATTAAGTAACGAGTCTAAAATTTAACAATCTGTTTTAATATACTATATGAGAACACTTGTTATAAAATATATCTACATACACTGTGGTTTAAATCAAAGGAGTGCATTTAACATTTTCGCTTTTCACCGATTTGATATAATCCTAGAGTGATGATAAACGCATATATTTTTAAGTACTAAGATTTTCGATCTTGATCATACAATGTAGGCAGGTCCCGACTTATTGAGTTTAAACGTTTATTTGGTACTAGTTAAACTGTCGGAAATATTACGATAAAAGCAAAATTATCATTAGTAGATACACAATGATGCTTCTGGAGCGTTACTTCCAAAAGTCACCGCTAGATGACGCCACCGGTCAGGGTTGGGAATTGACACTTTGTTGAGTGGTTTGCAACTCGGCTAGGTGATTTAAGATGATGGCCATCGTTTCCGTTAACGAGAATAGATTTAAGTTAAAGAAAAAAATCATACTCAACGGCAATATGAAAAGGACCTAAGTCTACATTTCCGGTGTTATTGGTCTGATTCAAACGTAACAAACAGCATTGACGTAACATAGATTAACGTTGAAGAGAAAACTCACGCACAGTGGCAATATCAAATGCTAAGTCTATGAGTCCTATGATTGAACGTTTACGTTATCCGTAACGTACATGTTAGGTCAAGTTTTAACAGTAACGAGGCAAGTTCGTCTGATGAAAAACTTTTTCCAACATATTACTGTTATTTTCCGCCTGTTATGTTCTAATTTAACAGTTTTCCATTATACGAACTTGCCTTACTTGCCTTACTGTTAAAACTTGACCTAACATGTACGTTACGGATAACGTAAACGTTCAATCATAGGACCCATTATCTTAGCTAAAATTGGCCCGATTCAAACGGAAAAAATGGGGGAGACGTGGCATAGATTAATACTGAAGCGAAAAATCATGCCTGGCGACAATGCTAAAAGAACCTACGTCTATATCTCTGCTGTTATTGGTCCGATTCAAACGAGAAAGACGGCGTTGTGAAGGACACATGCTATAGATTAACGCTGAAGAAAAAAATCATGCGCAAAACAAAAACGATCTAAGTCTATATATTCGTTGCTATTGGTCCGATTCAAACGGCAAAAACAGGGAGTGCGGGAAATTACATGTAAATTAACTAGAAGGACCCAAGTCTATAACTCGGCTGTCACTGGTCCGAATAGAATAACAGAGTCGCAAACTATTTGTCTGAGTTTCAATTCCTAACACTGACAGTTGGAGCCATCTAGCGGTGACTTTTGGAAGTAACGCTCCAGATACATCGTTATGTATCTACTTACATTTGAATTTGAATGATGTCACATATGCGTGATACTGCTCACAAATTACAATGTAGTGTGTCTTAAAATTCAATAAAATGATGATACTGTCTACATTTAATGCTTGCGTAGAGACATTCTGTTTGATACACATTTTTAAATTAATTTTTCATATTAACACCATAATCAAAACCCATCCAATATGTATCAAAGATTGGCCTTTCAGGTGAACTGTAATCAATTTAGAGTTTTCTCAAATAAACTGAATCAAACTTATTTAATATATTATAAAATTGATTCAGTGCCGACATTTATTCTGCAACGAACCGGAATGAACCGTTTTACAAAACTCTGTAAGTCCGGGCCTGTTCTAAAATGTTTTTTTAAAAATATAACACCATAAACTATGTTACCTACGTTATTTATAAACAGTGGAAACATTTTACGAATCGTTACACTTTCCCATATATTGAAAGAATTTTTCTCTTTATACAAATTAGAGTATATTTAAAAAACTATAATAAAATTGTGGCTTAACACTATATCATATCATACTTAAAATCAGTTGTCACAGAGGTAAATTATAATATTTAAATATGAGTTAGGGTAGCCTTTTTAGTGAAATTAGACCCGAGATGTACATCTCACATCCATGCCAACCTGAATTAGTAGTGTGTTGCCATATGCCTTAGACTTACAATTTCTCTTTGAGTTTCTAACAAGTAAAAAAAGGCAACAGAAAGTAATATGTTAAGGTATGAAAATGCATCGTCGTATTCATAGACGGTCTCTTTATTTTTAACACAGAAAAGCGGCGTATCTGTATAAGGAAACAAGTATTTTAATTTATTGTTTTTCTTTTGAACTCAGGAGTCATCTACCTTTTTGCGCAAATTGATCATTTTTAGAAGACGAAATATTATTAAAAAAAGATATAAGATAATATTTGCGAACATTTTACAGGTTATATAGTAGATAAGGTGGCAAAGTTTTCATCATTGTAAGAAAAAGAGGAAATCGTTGTCTGGCGTAGAAAATATGTAAAGAAAATTGAACACAGCATTTATTCTGTGAACGAAACCTGGGTTATCAAGGATACACTATTACAAAAGCTTGGCAAGATTAGAAAATTAAATATGATAGTGATGTTTTCTCACAAAAACTTTATACGGAACTGAAATCACCATCGGATAAAGGACTTGGAATAATAATTAGACTTTGTTGAAGGTGGGCTTTATATTTTTGAATAATGAAAGACCGAGGATTATTACGTAGACAATGTATTTCAAACGTGGTTTCAGTCTACTCTTTCACGATTTGAACCAGGTTCAGTCATTATTTGGTTGAAAACGAAATAGAAGTTTTTGCAACAAGAGTGGATATGATGTCCATATCGCACGAAGACAAAGTGATATGGATATGGACAATACACTCGAGTTGTACAGTATATTTTTTCTACGACCCACTAACGAAAATCTACGAATTAAAAAAATTATTTTTACGACAAACTAACTGATTTTAAAATAATTTATAAATTTTACTAATTTAGAAAATAAAATAAACATAAAAATAAAGATTTATTTTCAAAATGTGAACCAAATAAAAATGTTTTATTTATCTATTCTACCCAAAAATTACTCATTTTAATGTGTATTTAATCTCAATAACTAAATACTGACAATTGGTTTGACAGGATTGTCACTTATTTAAAATTTTAAAAATAATAGTAGTTGGGTGTTGGGTGTCCAAACTATGAACTGTAATTGATGGATTTAAATTTTTTTCAGTGTTCTCACTACCTAGAATAGATATGAAATTTATTCGTTCAGTTGAACGCAATAGCATACTTTTTCGATTTGTAATCTGTTCGTAGATAAGCTAATATCCATGTGGGTGTAGAAAAAATATATATTGTACCGAAAATAGATTGAATAGCGAAATTAACTATTATCATTACTCGACGGTACAAGGAAAATTCATTAAATTTAATATGATTTTAAGACAATTCGTATTTTGTTTTTACAACGGTATGTATAATTTATTTTTATAATTATTTATATAATGATCTGCAGAATAATGGAACTTACTGCCCACTGACTTTAAAATAATATTTAATTTAATGAAATATTAAATAATAAAAAAATTGAAGAGTGTCAAAGTTGAAATATATATATTTTTTTGTTCTTTTGGTAATAATTTTATATTTTTGATTTGTTTACTTTTAAAATACTTTTTGTGACTATACTGTTTGTTGTTTTCTTTACATAATAATTATGTTTAGATCATATATTATATTTTAGTCAAAATTTGCAAAAGGTTTTGTCAAAAAATATCACATATTGCTCATGCGACACCCTCTATAATTCAATTTAAAATTATAATTAAAATCATATTTCTTGTTAAAAATAATATTCGTCTGCCAAATTTGGCAAAAATTTATGAACAGATTGTGAAATTATTACTGAAAAATCTAAAGAATTATTTAAAATTTGTACTTTTTAATAATTTTCAGCGTTTTATCGAAGAAAGTTGAAGAAAAGTGTAATATTATGGATCACCCTGTATTTATTTCATAATGGCTACTGGCGAACCAACCCTTAAAGAAAGTTTTAAAGCGCTTCGGTAATACCTTGGTGTGACAATCGACCACCAATAATATTACACTTCAATTGAAAAATTTGAAAAAATGCATATTTATCGTATAACTTTGTAAAATATTAAAATAGACCGCCACTGGAAACTTTTCTTCCTATCCCTTAAGCTCCGAAAATATCTACAAATTTTGGAACCCTGACAGAATATCAGCTTTCTTTTACAAATTTCTGAAATTTTTCCACTGTCTATAATTAACGCAACATAGTACAGTAAAAATATAACTATTTATTATTGTTCTAAAAATAAATCAAATTGATGATAGAGGAAAAAGTTATTTATCGTTAAAATTTGATTTGAACCAGTGCATAAAAAAAATATAAAGGTACTGCGTATTTTTTGAATATAAACACAATATATATTTTTTATTTGATATAAATGAAGAAAATGCGACAAATTTAAAAGATGTTAAAATACTACGAGGGTTCTTAGACAAGTACGTTAATAAATAAGTAAATAGGTATTTTTTTTTTTAATTTAGTGTCATCGGCGTCGACTACTACGGCCATTAGCCTCGTGTTCTGTGTAGGCTTTGTTACTGTTTCCCAGCGCCACTTTAGGAACAGAACTGTTAATTAGAACCCAACAGTGAATGGTCGAGTGGGGAATCCTACCAAGGCATCAGAATTAATTTTAAATAATTAAATTAAATGAAAAAATCCCGGCCAACGGTGGGATTCGATCCTGAGACCTTCCGATCTCAAAGTCATGACTCTAACCACTGAGCCAACCCACCCCCTAAATAGGTTTTATTTTTTAATATTTAATCCAACAATGTTTAGCTTTTTGATCTCCTAGAACATCATTAATAAAATTGATAAAACAAAACTCTCTTGCCATCTTTTGATGTAGATGGAAGGAGCCGAGATAAACTTGCCAGGGAATTACTTAAATACCCTGGCAACTAAACAAGAAAAATTACTCAAAAATGGTAGGTATTTAAATTGGTCATTGCCAACTTCGAAAACTCCTCCATAGAATGATGCTAGGGGATTCAACACTGTGAGGCATAGCAATTAGAGATTCCAAACTGAATGGCTACCAGTGGGTTTTGACAGGTTATGATATGGTAAAATTATGGCAAAATTCTGGCAAAATTATGGCAACCCTGTAGGCCTAGTGATTTGACAAGGTCAATGAAATATATAGATAGTTACATAGATTAATCATCCATATTTTTTAAAATAAACATAGGCTTATGCATTGAAGTAAAAATGCAAGCAATTATTATTTTTTAAATATCTAAAGGCTGAAAATTGGTTTTAAAACACATTATTGCTAAATCGATTCAAATTAATAAATATTTGCCAGGCAATATGGCCGCTCGCAAACGACCAGCTTTAAGCAATCTATATAACTATATATGCATCATTGACCTTGTTTATGACAACATAACAACAGGGTTGCCATATCTAAACTGTCACTCCCCACTGTTAGCCATTTGGACAGGTCGTTGGAATGCCTAATTGACCTAGCACACATTTCCAACTTTTCGGATACATAACCCTCGTAATAATTAATTCAGAATATTAACAATAATTGCTTTAAGCTGGGGTTACTGGTTAGTACAAATAAGTGACAGAGGTATACAAAGAAACCACAAAAAGACGTTTACATCACTTAAAATAGAAATAAAACTAACAAGGAATACTACTGCTGAAATGTACCTCTGCCATTCTATATCCAAAGCATCACACATAAGCCCCAGGAAAGCCCCCCCTCCATGTCCGACTCCACGGGGGCCGTAGCGTTGAGCATAGCAAGCTATATATTAATACAGAATACATTAATAGACTACATACTATGGCTTCAATAGATTCAAGGCAGTTTATTTATATATATTTAATATTGCTCAAATTTACCTAATATAAGTCTTTTTTAACTAAAACTGCATTGAATTATCTTCAAAAAGATCTAATAATAAAATTATTCTTAAAAAAGAAAGTTAGTGGATCACGAAATAAAAGATGGTAACCTTTTATTATTGGACATATTGTCTATAATTATTGATTGTTTATGATGAAAAGTGAATTAATGTATTTCCTATAATAGACATAAACAAATTAAATTAATTATATTTACAAAAATTAACAGTCAAATATATTAACTTTTTTCAGCAATAGGTAAGACATTTTTATTTTATTTTAATTATTGCGTAAAATTATCGGGAAGATGGTAAAAAAGCATTGGCGGTAAAATAAGACATAGAAAGTTTTTGTACCTGACAGAAAAACAGTCGCTCTGGAGGGTGCCACCACCTTGACCATATCCGTATCCTTTAGGTCCAAATCGTTTTCCGTAACAAACTAAGACAACAACACAACAGTTAGATATTTAAGGTCATTCAACAAACGGCTTTTAAGTCATAGTACTTTTTTAGTTATTGATAATCCATTCTAGTTATAAGTCAGGCTTGACAAAAACTTAACGAAATAATCGACATGTGCTGTTATTATATCTCAACAAAAATCTTTAAACAAGCTAAGTAACTAAGAGTCAAAAATATTTGCAGGACATGTTGCATATAAAAATAAAATAAATAGATTATCAAATTGTTTTTTAACTGAAGAAATAAACACACCTTTACAGTATATATCCTTATCTGGACCTTCAGCTACATTATAGGAATCCAATCCCTTCTTACAGTCAGCGCATTTGAAGCAGGTTTTGTGGAAAGCCTTAAATAAAAAAATACACAAAATGGTAAACAAAAAAACCAAAACTCGATTTACGATACATATAATTAAACGAAAAGTGGAAACATTAAGAGACGTCACAGGTTTCCATGTCCGACAAGTACCTGCATGCTATAATAAAGAAAAATAAAAATGTGTTCTACCTCGGCAATATACCAGTCCATCGTTTCCATCACAATGGGTAGTGGAATCCAGCCACCTTTGGCAGTTGTTGCAACGGAAACATATTCTGTGCCAACCCTAAGAAATTTAATGATAAACAATACTTTAGCAGGGTTTTGGAAATTAACGGTTTTTATCTTTTATCTATAATTCAATCAACTCTTTGCAATTATTATTAAAAAATAGCGACGAACTAAAATTGTATTGCTGCAAATGGTATTTCAAATGCAATTCTGGGGAAACATAGCTAAAATGATCATTGTCAATTAGTTTAAAAATCTCTAGAGCGTAAACTTCTGGTGACCTGTTTTAGGTAAAGTTTACGTTTTTTTTTGTGTTATATGTGACCTCTACTATGTTGCTAGTAGATATTTTATTCTTAGATATCTGCTCCAGTCCCACCGCCTGACGTACCTTAGCAATTTGCTTTTGAGTAGTTCCTTGTCAAATGATTAAATTAATCTTTTCTAACTAATTAAAACATGCATTAATAGGGATTGAAGGATTTTATTAATGATTAAATCCACATTGAAAAAATATACATTCGAGACTTCTTAATCTGTGAAGAAGAAGAAAGCAGTTAAATATCAAATAAAAACTCTTTAGTTCTAAATTAGAATTTAATGAGGGAAAAATAAAAAATAAAATTTATCTAATCCGTGGGGCCTAGAGCCATTGCGAGTTGCTTGATAAAAAAAATTATAGATAAAATGGGAAAAATTCATAAAACTTAACCAATTTACCTAACTTGCGTGGCCTAGAGCCACCGCAGGTTGCTTCGCAAAAATATTATACATAAAATACTTGGAATTTCTAATGATTTCCTACAGCAGGTAATTTCGCCCGATACAGTATGGTTCAGACAGTCAAGAGTTGTTGGAACCAAATTTACCTATGGATAAAGGGGCTTTAAATGTACATAAAATTTTATCTATAACCTGCCAGGTCCCAAATTATACACACCGCATTGACTACCAATGCAATATTAGAGGTTTAGTCAATTTATAATTATTTACGATATTTTTAAGATTCTTTTCATTTAAAAGTATAGATGTCATATGTATATCTTCCCTAAAGACACCTATCTGCCAGAAACATCCCATTTAGGATCTATGTAAGTTTCTTTGTATCTGACATTAATGGTACGTCCCTACGATGTTTCCAAAGAAACGTTTCTGGAATGATTTCTTAAGAAAGTTTTAGAAACTTCGTAAATATGTATAGGTATTCTATTTTCATTTTAAATATTATTTTCAAATATCAATAAATTATAAAATTACTGCAATCGTTAGAAATCTAAAATATTATCAAACTCCAATATTAAATTTGAACATTTTCTTCCTTCTGGCTCAACAGGAGAGTTCGGGTAATCCTTCGCGAGCTAAAAAATACACTATTGACAGAAGCACTCGTGATGTAATCGATTTCTTTGCATTGAAAGTATAGCACTGAGCTACACTACTTATGAAAATATTGTTCCATTTATACAAATTGTATGAATGGAACAAAATTTTCGATAAAAGGAATAGGCATCATATTTGATTTGCTCGCGGAGTATTAACCGAACGCGCCTACTGTATAATCAGATCCAATGACAATATTGACATATGACAGACAGTTTATTAGTTTTGACAGTTGACATTTAAAATAGTTTCTCGCCTCACTTACGAGTTTGCAAATTTAAAATTTAAATAAACTAAACGTGATAATAGGCGGCCGGAATGACGTGTATAGTTTGTAAGTGAAGCTGCATGAAAAACCACTTCCCAAATGCAGAAAACAATGTTTTTACATTCAAGACAGCTATTCAAGCCAAAATGAAGGTAACTTTTAATACAATGTGGCTTTTATACATTCTAGTCATTATTTCTTTGTTTGTTAACTTTAAAAATACCTTTATAGGTATTGTATTTATCAGAAGATACATAGGGAACAATTGTTTTCTTTCAGTGAAAAAAAGGAAGTTCGTCAAGTTAAAAATAGCTAAAGCCATTATGGGTAATTATTTTAACTTACTATCAATTGTGTGTATTATCATTTAATTGAAACATTTTCAGATTAGGCTCAGAAAATTGGTAAACAAAAAAAAATTGAAATTAAAATAGGTGACTGGTTGTGGAGGGCTCCGGAAAGAAATAGACGCAATGAATCAGAGCTAATTTTTATTTTTGTGTCAAAAAATATTTTTTTTGCAATAAATTTATGAAAAATAATAAGATTGTTCTACTAAAGAAAAACGTTTAGGTCATTTCTGAAACGTTCCAGCAATAGTATAAAAAACGTACCTAAGACGTTTGAGCAACATCGCAGGATGTTCCACAAACACCTCTGTGAAACGTAACCTAATACGTACAAATAATGACATGGTCATTGCCAGAAACGTCCCAGGTATGTTTAAGGGAAGATAAGAAACATGACAGAGACGTTTCTAATGTCCCAAGTGCATGTTTCTGGAACATTCGTGTAACAATACCGTGCTATTAGGGTTTGTGAGATTTAAATGACCTTTTTCTTTTTTTACCTTTTAATCTAACCAACTCACACAGGGCTACTCCAAGTTTGAACATTAAAAATAGTTTGGTACATAACTTAAATCTACTTTTTACGATCAGCAAACAATATTAAAAAAAACAAGGAAACTAAACACGTACCTATATTATGTTAAAATCAATGAGAAAATTGTTTTCATTTGGCACACTAAAAGTAGAAATGTCTAAGACAATCGCAGTCCCGTTGCATCGTGACTGTGCTGGTCTCGATCGCTCGCGGTCTACAGATATATAATATAGAAGACAGGAGGAGAACGCGATGCGAGCAAGCACATCTAGAGAACAAGAAGTGCAAATATATTTGTTATAAAATATAGGAAATAACTTCAACGCGCGCTCGAGACTAGCACAGATCGCGATGCATCTTGACGGCATTTGCCTAATGCGTTCTCACCTTAATGCAGCGTGTAGAGAATGTAAACGGCCCGCTGTTATAATATTGATATGCTAAGTCAAGTCGATTTTATTTTCCTATGTTCGAGGTAGCCGAAGCACGTCTGTGTATTGAGCATTCTGTTTAATTTAATTTATTTATTTAGGTTGGAAGGCGCCAATGTTCTACAGTACTATTTAAAGCAGACTGTACATTGTGCCATAAGAACTGAGAATTACAATTCATTTTTAAATGTTTTAAAACTGGTGTTGAAAATCATTATTGATTACAGGTACATTTACATTTCAGAGTTATTCTTGTTTTTTACCATACCGAATTTCAAGAAAAATCGAAATATACGTATATTGTAAACAGTAATAACTATATTTTAAACGCCTATTTAACTCATCGTGACTTGTAATTGTCATTGAACTTCCTCATTTCGAAAGTAAAAACTTCTTTTAGCGCACCTTACATAACTTTTTTCTTGAGTTGGGAATGAGATTGAGCCGTAACGGTCATTAGGACAAATTCGGTTCAAGTCGAGTTCAGCCAAGTCGGTGAGCGACAAAGATGATAAGTCGCTGCTATATTCGCTCGGCAGAACTCAAATTTCTGAAGTTTTCCGAAGTCAAAACAGATCGAGTTACGGAATCGCTTTTTAAAATTCGATCAAATTATGAATCCTATCAAGTTCGAGTTACTCGACACAGAACGGAATCCCACTCTATAGGAAAACGCGTCTTGTATATAAGGTTCTTTCGTTCGCCCCACTGGTGTAGGAATGAACTACACCAACGGACACCATACTTTTCGTTTGGCCCGGTGTAAATTCCACTAACCACCAACCTTTCGATCGGCGTTGTGGTGTCCACTGGTGGGTATTTTCTCCACCAGCTATTTAGCAGGAGTGAATTAGACTCGGCAAGTGTATAAGGAATAAGCAGGGAAGTAAACTAGGGTAAATAAAGTGGTGTAACTGGTCTAATTTACACTGGTGGACACTGCACCAACAGCGAACAAAAGAACCTATTGTGTGGTTATTAACAACGTTATTCTATTCATAACTGACCATCATTTTTTGATTCAGTTTATCGTTTCTTTGAGTATATTTGCGCGTAGGTTATGACTATAGAACCAAGATCCAGAGGTTGCGGATTCTAGCTCCTCCCAAAGTAGAATTTTTTTAAATATTTCAATTTTTCTTTGGTTTGTTAGCGCACCCTGATTTCTCTAGCATTTGTTTAGGCAATTTAAACTGACAATATTTTTCCAATAAAGTTTCAGTTTATTAATAATTTTCAATCATATTAGGTTAACCGCGTTTCCATTACTAGTTAACTTTACACCTGGACGAAACGAGGGATTTACTGCACGTGATGTGATGTATCTTCGACGATGCCACGTAGGTGAACATTGAAGGGTTGTAGAGTTGGAATACGATTCTGATAAACTGAGTTGGAATCGAATCTAAATACTCAAATTAACAACGAGGATACCAAATATACAAGCTCTGGTGGTCTAGGGGTTATGACGATGGAATGGAGATCCAGAGGTCCCCCAGAGCAGAATTTTTAAAATTTTCTTTGGTCTGTTAGCGCACCTCGATTTCTCCTCGATTCATATATTTATTTAATACAGGGTTCATAATTGCTAGAACATAGAGTTACCTCGTATTGTAGAGGTTAAAATAAGTCAATTGGACTCAATTTATATATGTAGCAAAATGTACCGTTCTTTCGTTAGAAAAGTTCAAAGTATACTTAAAAAAAATCACATTTTTGTAAACAGAAATGTGTGAATCAAATTTAATAAAATTTGGTAAAAGTGTATAGAGGATTGACCTAATTTTAGTAATTAAAGAAAACCAAACGAAATTGTTAAAGGGTTAAAAACATCCTCACTCCCTGGTATTTTTTTAAATTTTCTTTGACAGTGGTAATATGGTTTAAATACTTTTTTAACGGGAAGGCATAAACACCACCTTAATTTTTTTACTTTTATAAAAACTTCGTATTTTGCATAGTTTCGAAGGAATTTTTTTTTTCAAACACCGATAACCGATATTTTAGTACAAGCAAGCACACAATTTAATTGACCGAGGAAACAAAAACTAAAATTTATTGATGGCAGTAAATGTTTCAATAATTTATTTATTGTTTATGGACAAACGGTACATTTTGATATATCATATAATTTGGATCTAGTCGACTTATTTTGACATCTTCAATATGTGGTAGCCATATGTCTTAACAATTTTGCGACACCATGTATATTACGTAGAAATACCAATATCAAATAAGTTTTCACTTTTAATGTGTGGCCTTAAGCTCACACCTTTTCTTATTGTTTTGTTTTTTTAATTATGTATTACGCTTGCTTAAATATTTTAGCGAATGTCCAGAAACTGAATACCTATTTACTTTCTTTGAATATATACTTACTCTTCCACGGGCAAGCATCTGTTCAGCAGCATAGACAAAGCCCCCACATCTGGGACATCCCTCTCCTTCAGGAGCCTTAGCAGTAGATTTTGAAATTAAGGGAGCCCGGCTGGTAACTGAATCAGGGTCACTGAAAGTGCAACACAAGCTATATAATTATGTTATTTGCAAAAAAATTTGCATTATGTAAAAGTTTAAGCTGATTAGTAAGGTAAAGGAAATATAGGGGTGAAAATAAAGATAAAGATCATTTATATATAACTAACAGGCTAATTCTAAACGTATCTGTGAGTTACAAAGCAGTAAAGTATAATGAATGTCTAATTGAGTTGAGTGATATTTCACGACCTGTTATTTATTTATTGATAGTTCCATCCGTTTCATGTTTTTTTAGAAAAATATAAGCTTATATTTAATTTGTTAATGATTTGAAGAATTATAACCTCATTTATTTGAATTGTACTAATCACTTTAACTTTTCACAAGTGATTGAAATATCACGATATCGTTTAACTCTACTCTTTCTCTGATCTGACAATTCTATATTTAAGTATTTACAGATTTATAAATATTTGAAGATGTTTTCTGAATTAGGTCATATATGTAGGTATAAAATCCGTTAGATAATAAAAAAGTGAAGAATGCTCTAGCGTAAAGTCATTTACCTAATTAAATTTTTTATTTACTTTTTTCTTTCCATTTAGAAAAACAACAAATTCTTACAAAGTAGATATATTTAGTTTTTATAGGCAAGTTTAAAAATATTTTTTTTTCTCTTATCCCGTCATCAGAAAGTATCAAAAATTTTCTTTCTAATATTTTTTATTTTCTTTAACCATTTATAATTGAGGCGTTGATTTCAAAAACATCAGAAGTCCAAAATTACAAAATTTAAGATCTTAGTGGCATCTAGTAGAGTATTTTGCAAGCTATTTGATGATCTAAAGCAGTTCCTGCAAAAACCACTCTTGTGTCTAGTAGTGCTCAAAATTGTAGTCGATTCAGCAAGAACAACATTATGTCCAATCTGTTTCCATTAAAATGAGTCCAATACATATGCTATTTTCGCCGGGATTTAAACGTTATAACCTGTATTGCGTATTTCGTTCCGAATTAGGTAATTTAGTTGATTCATTGTTGTTGACACATCAACATTATGTAAAAATGAATATAGTTAACAATAATGATACAGGGCAAACCAATTGGCCTAAAAGGAAGCCGAAAGAGCTAAAGCAATCTGTACAAATACCGGTAGTAAAAGGTTTAGAACATATAAACCATGAAAATAAGTTAATTCCAGAACGTGCTGGTTCTGGTTAAAATAACACATTCCTCTTTAATTATGCTAAAAGCAACATAAGTTTAATTTTTTTATTTTCTTTAGAAGATAATGGGTAAGCCAGATAATAACCAGTAGTAAAAACCCTTTATGTCCCTAAAAATGTATCTAAATATTTATTTGGCTAGTAAGTTGAACGTGCATCATAGTAAACTGTTTTTATTTACAACCATATATGTAATGTTGTCATTACTAACGTCATTGAAGGTTAGAAAGTGTCACATTACACATCTCTACTTCCCGCCCTCACTTCCCGCCCTCATTTCATCTATTCTAGATGAATATTTTTTATATTTAAAAAAAATAACACATTTTTTTGATAAATTTTATAATACCTATTTAATGGCAAATAATAAAAAACAACAATGAACTAAAATACAACAAACTACTTATTGATATTTATTATTCGCGAATTTAATATCCGGCTTTATCTGACATTTGTTTATATTGGTGACAGTTATTTACCCCGTAATCACAGTAACAATATATTTACTTGATTATTCTGAGAAAACCGCGCGCTTGGTAATTTGTCGTTAAATGTAATATTTTAGGTATGTTCAGAACAAAACAAAGATTTATTACCTTTGATCGAAATATGATGGTTGCAAATAAAATAGTATACAAACCTCGGTAGGAAGTTTCATTCCTGTCTCGAGATCATAGCTAACCTCGACGCTTCGCGTCTCGGTGATCTAACTAATCTCACGACAGGAATGAAGCTCTTCCCACCTCGGTGTGTAATATACTATTTCTTATTCTCTCAAAACTAATTTTTTTGGACTTATGATTTTTTCGAAATCAACGCCTCAATTGTTAATTGTGGCTAAAATATTTCGGATTTGGTGAGGAAATACATTTATATTGCAGTTAGCGCAATATTTATAATTAATTTAAAACTTTTAATTACATATGTATGTATTATTGTGATGTAGAAATTTTATTTATTAAATATAATCTAATAAAAATGTATTATCAACTAATTCATCAGAAAAAGACACATAAATTATTATCAGCGTCCTCAACAAACTGCCTAGCAACTCTAAAATCTTTTTTATTTAAGGTAAGATTTACAAAAATTTTTAAATCCTTTTTATATATGCTATAATGTTGATTGGTAAGTGATATTCCATTTTGTTAATTTATTTTTTGTTTCAAGTATATCAACTATAATTTAGATTCTATATGAATTGAAGTAAATTAATATTACAATATTGATTTTGTTTCTTGTCAATATACTTTTAACAATTTTGTGCTGTGATAATTAAATATTTCTGTCAATGTTATTGATATTTTCTTTCTGACGTTGACTTAATTGTTGGATATCCATCCAGTATACCTAATGTCTATACTATATTTAAATGTTTCATCCTTAAGACTAGAGACTCAAGACAAATTTAAGTGGAGATGGCAAAATTGTTGATTCCTAAATGAGAATTAATCTGCCATCTATCTTAACCTCAAAATCAATTTAACATAAAACTTAAAACTAAAATGAGCATCTTTGTTGTGGTTATAAAGTAGCTCAAGGTTCTTTACCTCATCAATATTTTACCTAAGGTATGCTTGGTCCAACCCTCACATTTTGATCCAAATAAGACTCACCCTGTAGATTTACTTTAAGCAGAATAACATGTACTACATACAAACTTTAAAGGGCTTGTATTGACTCAAAATTAGTAACTCGTTATTCAGAGTAAAACTACTAAATATGAATTTTTTTTAAAAAAGCCAATATCATTATTTCAAAACGCTAACATGATATTACATGTTAATAATTCCGATAAACAAATATTTCTAAAACAAAGATCTGAGTTGGCTTGTTTTGAAATATTTTTGCAATGAATTGTTAAAGGTGACCACATAAAAGAATTATTCAAATTTAAAAAATCAGTTATAATTGATGTTGTTTATTTAAGATTAGTATAGTCACAGAGGAGGAAGATTAAAAAGAAATTTGTAATTTGTTTCAATACTAAAAGAGAAAGTGGAAATAATTAGTAGGAATAGAGAATCGAAGAGCAAATAGAACTGATAAGGCATGGGCCTACATGGCATGTTAGCCCAAGAGTCCACTGAAAATTTTTACCGTCATCTGATAACGAAATGAAAAATACCCCAAAAGCATGTAAAAACATTGTACTTTACCAAATGGCACCTGTGCTTATCCCAATCCTGAGCAAAGTGGTAAAAAAATACTTTATATTAAAAAAAACACAAGGCATGACAGCACTAATTTTGTTTGCCCTTAAAGTTTTCCGGAAAATAACAGTTTCAAATATATCTTGATATATATCGTTAAGGGGGCGTCCATTAATTACGTGACGTATTTTTGAGCATTTTTTGACCCCCTCTCCCCCCCTGGTGAGATTTCGTAAGATTTTCCTCAACTCCCTCCCCCCTCCCCTAATCTCTCGTGAGATTTTTCAAAATTTGTGTTTTAGGTGTAAATGCGTTGGATTATTAAAAAAACAAACACAATATGTTTTATTACTTTTATTTAAGACTAAACATTTCTAGAAACATTCTTTACTTTAATTTAATTTTTACGCAATTTTACACCGTTTTCTACTAGAAAAAAAATACGTCAGATTTACAAAGACCCCCTCTCCCCCAAATGAGATTTGGAAATATTTAGCTTGATCCCATCCCCCCCTTGAACACCTCACGTAATTAATGGACGCCCCCTAAAGAGAAACATTTTCTTCCTCTTAACAACACACAAAAACATCTATCCATGATTAGTAGGTAAAAATCTTTAAAAATATGAATCAATTTTTGCTGAATTAAAAATTTATTTGTATGCCTATCGTTGCGATTTATTTTTACAGGTTGCCATAGCAACGACAACAATTTACTATGATTATGGTTTAAAAGAATTTTCTAACAAGACTTTATAATAATTATTGACTATCTCTGCAAATGGTTTAAACAATACCATCCTTCTTCCTTTCACACATGCACAAGGTTTAAAAAGGTAGGTAAAAATATTAATAATTCAGGTTTAAAAGCTAGGTTCATAATGAATTAGGATTGTAATTTTTAGGGCAAACAAAATTGTCGCTGTCATGTCTTATGTGATTTTTGAATATAAAATAATTTTTTTTAGCCACTTTGCTCAGGATAGGGATTGGCACAGGTGCAATTTGGTAAAGTACAATGTTGTTACATGCCTTTGGAGCATATTTCATTTCGTTATCAGATGACGGTCGAAATTTGCAGTGGGCTCTCTTACTATGTAGGAATGCTTATATTTTATATAGTAAAAAATATTTATAGTTCATTCGCTATTGTCTTATCAATGTTTTCTATAAAGGAGGATCCTATATTTATGGTTCAAATAGAAAGATGCCATCATTCATGGTTTGCAAATACCAAATATATAGTCCTAGATATATTTAAAGTATTTTTGAAAAGCAAGAAGAGTAATGAAAAGAATTGTTTTGAAGTATAAAACATATCTTTTTTTTTATATTTACCTCTCAAATATTAAACTGTTAAGTTTTTGTCGAATTTGATGAATTTTATATCTGGAAATGAAATTTTGAGTTTTTAAATTTAACAACAGATTTCTTCTTTACCTCGTAATAAAATATGTAATTCTGTTTTTAAAATTTGTAAGTTGTGGTATATCTTTGTATTCATGTTTTATTTGTTTGTGATGTAGTACAAATCATTGTTGCAGATAAGAAATTCGTGTTTAAATTTTTAAAACGATATGATGCAGAAGTGACAAAAGTGTTTTTTTCTTATTTTACACTTGTTAAATAAATAACTATTCTTTCTGTCAACTC